CTGATTGGCTGCCTCTTAAGTACTGATAAGCGGTCGTTATGACGTCACAAGGAAGTTCGAGAATTTTCGCGCTATTTCCCGTTAGAAAAACAAATTATTTTTGCTCGGCTAGAAGGTCGATCTAGCTCGGATTTTGAAGTTTTTAACCGTTAGAAATTAATTTTATTAATTAAGAAAATTTTCTGGTGGTCGAAACACCGTTAGAAATCAAAAATAAGAGAATTTCCGACCTGTTGCCGGTTAGCCTTTGTCTAACTGTCTAGACAGGTTCGTTGACCTAGCAGGTCGGTTCTCGACCAAAAGCAAAATTCCGAGTCGGTTTCTCCGTCGAAAATTACTTTTTAACCGTTAAAAGTTCAGATATACGGCTAGAAATAGTTTTCTACCGCTAGAAAGTGAAATGCCGACCTAGTTTCGGCTAAAATCGACCTATAACCGTGACTTTACCAGTGTCGGTGTCGGTGTCGGTTCCGGTCGATTTCCTCCGTCCGAGGTCGGAAATCCGTCGTTTCCGAGCTGAAATCCGCGAGTAAAGTTGCGGGTCGCTGTTCAAAGCGAAGGTCCCCGTATTATAGGATTAATCCGTTCGCGCTGCAGACTCTCGTTCGAGTCTGGTCCGTCGGTTGGGAGAAAAAAAATGTCCGTACGTTCGGGAAACTGAGATTCCGCTCTTCAATGTGGAAGAGACCAAGGAACTGTGCTCACCAGCTGGGTAGGAATCACTTCAGTGATCCCCGTTTTCCTCAGCTGTAAGACGATGCGACCGTTCTGATCGACAGTCAGTGCAGAGATTGCTTCAGCAATCGGTCTGACAGTGACTGAAAAGGTTTCCAGACAGGTTCTCCGTGAATGAAGCCTTCACCGTCTCCTCAAAGGGTCCGTTGAAGGAAAACCAAACGATTCTGCTTACCATGTAACAGGCAAGCGCGAGGAGATCACGAGTGATGCTTTATTGACAAATAAAGGGAGCAATGCTGCGTAATAGCAGGAAAGCAAGAACAAAGCACTGATGGCTAAGCAAGTGAATGCTAGAAAAAGCTCTTGAGCGTTCGTCAAGACGTGAAAGAAGCAACTGGCGGCAAGCACGTGCTGTGTGCCATCAGCTGTGTGATGATGCGCAGACTGGACTCAATCCAACGCGAGCGTATGAACGCTGAGTCATACTGCGAGAGAGGGACGAGAGAGCAAGTATGCTCAGTGTGTGCGCTGCGTATATCCGCTTCAGCGGATATGAGTGCAGTGCAGCAGCACACGTACGTACAGCGAGAGAGGCGATATGGCAAGCATGAGTGCAGTACGTCCATGGTGGGCCGTATGCACCAGGCGCAGTCATGTGCCTCTGACAATCTTCTCTACAGATCTCATTTGTACGGCTGCAATATGTGCAGATCTTAGAAGGGTGGACGCCTGCGACAGGTGAACACTGCTGATTATGTGAACAACTAACAGCAATTTGAATTAATTTAATATATGAGTTCTGAATTTACCGAGGATAGTGTTGAAGTAAAATTCTCGCCGATGACGGGACTCGAACCCGTGATAGCTGCGTCTAAAGCCGTGCGTGCGACTAACCACTGAATCACACCGACTGCATTACCACTGAACCACTGAACTACTGCGACGAACCACTGAACCTGGCCGATATCGCGATATCGGCCAGGACTACGTGTTTCGCGCTCTTGGTTTTGAAACGCTCGGACCGCCCCGACCGGATGCTGCCCGCACGATAACGGAATTCGGACAGATGATACGACAGGAAACCGGCGAAAAACGAGCCACGCAATATCTGCGCCAGCGGATCAGCATCGAAATCCAACGAGGAAATGCGGCAACGATCTTGGGGAGTGCCGATAGGGGCAAATTTAGACCAGATTTTCTCTGTGATTAGGCCGCCTCTGTCGATTGATGCTTAATGTGATCGTTTCTGAAGTTGTTGTGAAAATTTTTCTGTGAACAGTTGTTTGATAATAAAAACATATGACTGCATTATCATTTCATCTTAAGATTCTAACGCACTATGCGATGGAAGAGCCTAAGCTAAACTAAACTATGGAAACGGTTTCCGCTGCGCGGTGCAGTTCCTTAAGTGGTCAAGCACGCGGGACCGTTGACAATTGCTAGAGCGCCTCGTACGTGCCCCTTGGGTGTGCCGGGTGTCGACGCCAATCGCCTTTGCTGCCAGCGACATTGTCATGCAGAGCATGCACCGAGCCACAGTGAAAACGAAAAGTGACCTTGGACTTTTCACTTGTTTCTTTACCGCAGCCGAAATAGTCCGCATAGACCAGCGGGAACCGTAAGGCGTAACGGGTTGCTAATATTATCGGCTTGCGGACGCGAGAACGCCATTGTAAGGGAATCACTTATAAGTTGTTAGTTTTTCTCTAAAGAAACTGTCGTACTAAACAAATCCGTTGCGTTAAACTGCAGCGCATCGCGCGCTTCTCACAAACTACAGCACCGGGAGCGAACAGAGAAGCGCTTGGTTGTGCAATGTACGTTAAAACGAAGACTACAAAGTACCTACTTGTTTCTGCCCTAACCTGTACCAATAATACAAGGCAAGGTTTTTTATTGTTCAATATTTACTTTAATGTACGTATAGTTTACTTTGCATGATGCCTTAGCAACCTATCCGAACGAATCACCACCAACCGAAGTTACGGTGTGTGCAGTTAATCATCAAGAACGATCCATCAAGAACGATCCGCCGCGGACGACAGGATGGCGCACTTGTCTGGGAATGTTTCCTGCGAAATGCTACAATAATTTTCCTTTTCCCATATCAGAAGTACGCTGCGTCATTTCCCTGTTATGCAGCTTATCCCGGCTCTTTACGGCATGCTGCTGTACAGCCTGTGCCCATGGCCACCGTGCAGCGCGTGCGCGAGACAGAAGGACGCGGCTGTTCGCTCTGGACAATGGGTACTTTCAATTCAGGTCTAAGCCAGTGTGCCCAACGCTTGGCCAGATATGAGTTATGAATGTGAATCAACAGGAGATAAGAAGAAGACCACAGATTGGATATTAAAATATGATACATATCGCCAACACATGCCCCCTTTAAGGCAAACATGCCAAAAGATAAATCTAGTCTAGAGTAGATTTACCGTATGGCATCGTTGACTTATCCATTCAGTTTAGCATTGCGAAGTTGTTTGTACGTATGAAAACTGTGCCATTATCACGAACACTAACAGTATAAAAAAATTTACCAACAACTGCATTCTTTACACGAAAACTGTGCAGTTTAATTAGTGTGTAAACTGACTATTATTTGCACTATCATTTGCGGTTATTTGTATTTTATCGGATTACGGCTAGTACATATAAATTAAATGGCGACACCAGTTCGCACTGTTTTGCCTGCAATCCGCGCAAGGGATCTTGTTCCTACTGCTCCCGCTGCACGCACCAGTACTGGTAATCAGGGATCACCAGGACCAACAAAATCCGGAGAACAGCCGAAACAGCGAGCTGCAAAACATAGCTGGACAGAACGGGAAGAACGTTTTTTAGTAGAATGGCTGCAAGACTTTGAAAACTACCAAGAATGGAAATGCGCGGGGAAAATCGACCCAAACGACCAGAAGAAAACTACTACTGGCAAAACCAAAGCTCACGTTGCCAAAGCCATTGCCCAACACCTGGTCACCAAATGCGGCGCTCATACCAAACTACGCACTGTCAAAAACATCAAGGTGAAAATCCAATGCTTCGAAGCCAAATGGAAAGACGTGAATACCTGGCTGAAGGGAACGGGCAATGGTATTATGGAAATTGGTGAAGAACGTGCGGATAGGCTTAAACGCCAGCCTGTTGTGGGTAAGATTAAGAATATTAGTCTTTAATGAGTGCAATAATTATGAGTTGTTAAGAGGAATGCAAAGGGTAAGACATTAGTCTACAGCTGGCTGTGAAGTTGTAAATACCGATGTAGTAGAAGTCACTAAAGACGACCGAGTCGAGGCGTTTTCTGAGTATACGCAGTCTATGTACGCATTAATGCACCGCAGATTGAAAGATTACTTGACGCGTCTATAATTAGTGCAGCACTCGGAGTGTGGCTGAGTTGCTGGCTCTGACGTCAGCAACTGCGATGCATGTACCTGCCAATATAATGCTGCGGCTGAAAATGTCCGAAGTAACAAAAAGCGAAAAGCGTTTGTTTGCATATAAACAAAAATATTTTCAGGAATCTAACTATGCAGATTATCTTTATAAACAAAAATATGAACCTGAGTGAAATTTTGCAAAAACCAAAAATTTCAAACTTTTGTTAATTTTTGTAAACTGGCTAATCGCGTTGTGTATTGGTTTTTTACAGATGAAGTCATAAGGCAGTTCAAGTATTTTTTCGAACTGGACGAAGTCATGTGGGACAGAGCAGCGAACGAGCCAGCGTACGTTTCGAATACGGGAACCAACAACAATGCAAATGTTCCAGAGGTTTTGTTTGGCGGCGGCAGAGGCAGCTCGGATGAAGAAACAGAGCACGTGGCGGGGGCGGCTGCCTCTAGCGCTGGAAGTATTGGTGCGGTTATGGATGGGGACGAAGTGTTCCCCAGTTATCTCGATCAACGATTGGATGGAGATGTCGACATGGATGATGAACCGCCATCTGTAGACCCCGGAAAGATCATACTCAACAAGAAAAGTAAACAGGGTGACAAACCGAAGAAAAAGCAAAAGTCTACGGAATTTGCCGATACACTGCTGACTATTGAAGAGAAGAAAGATCGTCGTTTCGAGGAAGAACTCAAACTTGCCAGAATGCGGGAAGAACGTATGGAGAAACTGCAGGTGGAACAGCTAAGTTTTCAAAAAAAGCAGTTGGACATGCAAGCTGACGAGTTGGGTATTCGGCGAATGGAGGCTGAAAACCGGCGACTAGAGCTACAACTACGATTACGCAACAGCGGAAATGCAGCAGGTGATCAGTTTTTCTAAGCTTTTAATTCTGATAAAACACCATTTCATTTGAAACTCTCACGTTGATTTCACTCACGTATACTAGTTAACACATACTGCATAATACGTGCACGTTTATGTTGTCCGTCTTCGTTGTGCTGTACTGGACCAGCGTCCTCTTCGTTGTCGCCATCGTTGTCGTCTTCATTCCAATCGGGATTAAATGCATCCGAATTTTCTACGCATATGTTATGTAAAATGCAGCAACATCGGAACCAATAAATTGCTATAGTATGGTCATTAGCACTGTTTATAAATTTTCTTAAACCACGTAGACACTGAAATCTGCCTTTAGTATGTCCGATTGTGTGTTCTGATTTCACTCGGGCGCGGCAGTGGCAGTAGTTGAAAAGGCTGTGGTCACGCGTTGGTATCTGGTTTTTCCGGAAAGGCGGGATGACAGTAGTAGTGCAGGAATAAGCGCTATCTCCAAGTATGTACTCATCTCCATTAAAATACTGCGAAGAATTAGTCTCCAATGGCGAGTTTTTAAAAACACGTGCATCATGCACTGAGCCGGGATATCCACAAGACGCAAACAGAATGCGCCGGTCAGCATCACACACGATCATTGCAGCAATAGCATAACGTCGTTTCCGGTTGAAATAATCTACTCCGTTAAGACCTGGCCGATATTCAAGCACGATATCTGTGCCGTCGACAAACCCAATACAATTGGGGAAATGATATTCTGACCGGATTTTGGTTTTTATTGCAAGTTTTTCTTCGGGTGAAGGCCACCGAATAACTTCATCCTCCAGCGACAACAATGCGGCAATCACCCTGCGAGTGAACAATTCCACTGTACCTTCTGACAATCCGAAGCGACGGGCAGTTTTGCCAATAGATGCAGCGTTTCCAGAATTCCCAAACCGGTAAAGGGCAATTGTTAGCTGGTCGCTGACAGATGACTGGGGTTTTGGGTTATTACTCACAAAAATTTGGTGGTTGGCAATTTTACCGAGTACGATCTCAAATGTTGACTGTGACATACGAAACTCCTGTCTAAACCTTTCGTCATCCAAATTAGGCAGAATATTTCGCATAAAATTAGAACTTTTTGGCACAGTTAATCGGGGATCGGGATAGCGGGTTAACTCGAGATAAAACCGAATAATTAGCATCGTCAATTCATCATCATCCTTGGTGCGAGAAAAAATAGATAGCGGAGCGTCATCATCCGGCAGAAGTAAAGATCTGGTTTTGCTGTATGCGGCATTTTGCAAAATTAACCTTTCGATCAGATCGATGGCTAATTTGCGCTTACTTTTGCGCGGCATTTTAGAAAACAATAGCGCTGTAACCTGTAGCAGTCACTTTCTTGAAGTAATCTGCTTCTGACAAACAAATTTTGCATTTTTGATTTTTCGCGCGCTTTTCTTGCATGTGCGATGAGAAAATGCACACACGTACTCGGCTGTTTATCAACAGTCTGACTTATTATAAGTTCGGTCATTCACTTGTCTCGGCAGTGACAGTTGTTATGTTATCGCATTATTGGGTTGTTTTTTACGCCTCATTTGTTGTTACTCACAGCCAGCTTGGCTTTCAGTAAGGCAGACTTGCGATAGACCAACAGAAATGTCACTCTCTAATGTATGTGCGAAGTCTAAATTACGATCATTGTTGTCATAATTGTCCGGCTATTTTCATGCGAGTAACATTTCCCTGTTTCGTATTGCTTAAATGAGAATAGGATAGGTTTGAAGAATTTTACCAGCTGGCAGCTTCTTATCGATTATCCAAAAGCATTATTTTGGTATCTAACTGACTGACGCGTTCGTTTCTTATGACTTTACCAGGTTCCGACTTTTTCGAATTTTATTCTTTCAAACCAATTGGTGTATGACGTACATATTGCTGATTCCTGTAATCTGCAAGAATTAATTCCCTTAGGCGAGGTAATTGTTTTGCCTTCATTTTCAGAGGAGTTACAATAGCTACAGTTTCCCAGGTAGAAAAAAATGCTCTTTAAAATGGATGTTTTTTCGAAAGTCGAAGATCCAAATAAAAGCATAACTGTGTAAAAGATCAAAAGGACCGTGGGTCTAAAACGACGCTCGGGTCCAGCAGTACGTTCGATTCACTTAACTGCCAACTCCTCTCAAACCGAACCGCAAACAACCGCACGCGGGCTGCGTGTCTGCGTTGCACTGCTACCGCGCGCAGACTGCGATTTGATGAACGCTATATGCAGCCTGCAGGTAGCGTGGTGGTATGTTTACTTTTCTGCGCCGATGCAGGGGACCATTTTCGAAAAACAAAAACCCATATTTACTAGAATTAAAGTTTGGACAGTTCTACGCGCCTTATAATCCATTGCCACAATGGAATTGGTTGTTCCTGGTACCGTTGGAAAGACAAAATTATTTTACATACTGGGTTTTTTTGGTTTTGGAATTGAACCATTCGAATTCCAACGATCAGTGGTTTTCTCAGTTACGGGAATTAGTTTCATGTTTAAAAATTTATATCTTTACTGCTTTTTACACAAGATTTTTTCAAAATAAATCCAATATGTAAAAAAATTATACGTTATATTTAGAAACAGCAAACTTGAAGTTGCCCCATTGGGTGCTTCAGCGCAGTTTTTTTGGGGCACATACAACATAAAATTCTATATCCCGTTTGCACTTTTAGGCTTCATTTTAAAAACTTATATGTTAAAAAGTGCAATTTATAAGGTTTCTAATGAATCTTTGCACTTCGAGAACAGACCAACCAAAGGCGCACAACAAATTCTCAAAGTTGTCAATAAAATTGGCATGCTGCAGACAATTACATCCCGTTAAGCCTCGAGTTTATTCGTGTTTTACTTGATTAGCTGATAAAAGCACCGTACACGTTCGGAAGCGTTTTAACGGTGTACTTTATATCAATAATGGACGGTATGAATGTTATAGCGGCTGAATTGTCAAGAACTGTGGATGACGTTATTGTTGACCCTGATGACACAATCGATGATCGGTACGACGTAATCGAACGAGCGTTGCGCAATCGAGAAGGCGACCTGGTCACATTGCAGTTACCACCGGCAGCGACGACGTCGGCACCACCATCGGCAGCCGCCGGCAATGTGGTGCGGCCGCGGCTGGGGCAGAATGTGTCGTTTACCTGTCCGGTACCCGGGGGCGGTCATCATACCGGCATCAGCTGGAGCGTCCAGGGCCGCGCCGTCTTCCAGCACGGGCGCCCAGTTCCGCTGCCGCACGTGCCTCATTATTCGCGCTATGAATTTGTAAATCTGAACGACAGTACCGTGGCGCTGCGCATCCTCAACGTCTCCCTGCAGTCCAGCGGCGAGATCGCCTGTCATCTGGAGGAGGCAGACAGGAAGACCGGAATGCGCCACTACACACTGATCCCCCGCGTCACGCGGGCTGACGAGATTTTCGCGGAACGCTTGAAGCCGCCGTATTGGGTGTCCCTCGGGGACAGCTCTATACTCACCTGCCGGGTCCGGCTGCCACTGGCGCCGGATGTCGCCGAGAATGTGCGCCAACACTTCATGTGGCGACACAAAACGGAACTGTTCAATGTGCCACCCGAGACGCCCTACACGTCACATCTGGGGGTGGCGCCCTATAGATGGGCCTCGCCCAACAGGCCAAGCAGCGCTAACGTCCCCGTGGAGGCCGTCAGATACTCACCCCGTCAGATACTCACCCCATACATCGCCTTTGCCAGCGTGGTGGACGGAGCCGGAAGTTTCGGACTCGGGTGTCATTGACAACGCGCGGGATGCGGACTTTGTTTTGAACTTTAACTTGTCCAGTGTCCAGTTGAGCGACAACGGCAAGATTGAGTGCTGGTTCCGGCCGCATAAACACCTCCATGAATGGATCGTGCAGACGACGTTGTTACTTGTCAGTGATAAGATTTAAATCAAGCTACTATTTTGCCCTCAAATAATGGATACGTGGCGCGCCCGCGTTCGCAATTTTTGTTATTTATACATATTTTAATAGCTATTGACTATTGAAAGTTACGGATCGAAAATCTTTCAATGGACAATTTGGGAGGTCATATAGATTAATAAACAGCTGCGGCTTCGCCTCCGCGTTTCTTGTGGTCCACTGCCAGAATCAGCAAAAACGTTGTTCATTCATGTACCGTTTTGGGCACTGCATAGCGGGGTAGCTCGGTCACTTATTGAATCAGTTAGTGGTTTTCCTCACTAGCAAGTACTGGTAGTTCGGTAACTCACTCACTCAATTAGCGAATGTGATCGCTCGCTGGAAATGGTGGTAGCTGGGGCGCTTTGCGAGTTAGCGGTTCCGCTTACTGGACCGTAGTGGTAGCTCGGTCACTCAGTTAGTCGGTTAGCGATTTTCCTCGCTGGACAGTAGTGGCAGCTAGGTAACTCACCCACCTTATATAATAAATGCGGCTCTATGCTTTCAGCAGTTGTTTAGAAGAGTGGTCCTATCAAAATTGAACAGGCCGATAACCTCAAAATACTTAAGTGTAGTGCACTGTCCGTACGGTTAAACTCTACCGTTGTTTGTACAAATGTGCTGACAACGAAAGTCGATAGGTTAACTCGTAATTACTTAAATTTGTGGTTGGTATTTTACGAAAGCAAGTTCACTTCATTCCGTTTAATTTGCGTTTTGAAGATGAAGGTTAGGCAATTAATTACGAAACTTCATTAAATGTTTTGGATAATGAATTCAGTTACAAGTTTACAAGCTGTTTACAGGCTTTTATTTACGCGTAGTCTGCCGGTATTGTGCTGATCGCGATGCACCGTTCGGCAGCAAATTTATCCAACTGTTAGAAATAGGCACGATAGCGTGCTAACTGCATACAGCACAATGCTACTCTAGAGCCTTTAAAGTGAGTGGGTCCATAATTGCCTAACCCTCGCGTTAGTAATGTGTGTTACGCAATACAACCAGGCAAACTTTTTTTTCTAACTTCAGGGTCACCTTGAACCTGGGTTGGATTGTTTTCGGCATCGTGCCGGCACGATTCTGATTGGAAGTATTTAAAAATAATAGTCATGTGACGCAGTGCTGCACCGCGGCCGATTTAATTGTGGCATCAGATTTTTTTTAAAAGTTTCGATATCCAACTGGCTCCGGGCGCCGGCAGTGACCGGAGTGCTTGGCAAAAACATTGAGCATAGGCTGTCGCTTGAAAACCATAAATTCTGTAATACTTTTCTTACATGTGTGAGATATCCTTTGAAACCGCATATGAGGGACGCGACAATGCCCTTAGCGACCGCCGTCCTTAGCTCGACTTTGTCGAAATCCGCTGCGATTTCTTCGCTGAAGAAAACTGCAAAGGTCAAGGCCAACCTTAAACGTAGCAAAGCTAATCAGAATAAAAATTACTGTAGTTGTTATTTTTACTCATACGTCGAAGCACTGCGCCTGTCGAAAACACTTATTGTCGGGCTAAATAATTTGAAAGTTAGCATAATGTTTATGCATTTTGATAACGTGGCAAGAAAACTTGGAAGCGTGGAAATAGCAAGGTCTTAACCAGTGCAAGCCGAACAGATTTATCTGTATAACAGCTGCAACCGCCGTTACCTTATTATGTCTATATTAATTTTTTTATTGTGTAGCATTTCGGTTTGACTGGTCTCAATAACAAGCGCTGACGGCTGACCCAGAAACTATGATGAAGTGCGGAGAAGCCAAGCATGCAGAGCCAGTGTGACTGAACCAACAGAGAGAGACCTTTTCAAAAGTAAGGATTCAGAGCAAAATTCCGATAATTGAATGCGGATGTGGCCTCGTCGATGAAGACACGCTTTTCAGTCTCAACGAGAACACTTCAATTCGCGTTGACCTGTTCAGTTGGTTTTATAAAGATAATTCTGCGTGGACAGATATCCAGATGGATCAGTGGCTGAAATTTTTCTACCTTTAAATCGCAATAATTTTCTTATCCATAAAAATACCGTGGAATGTCCTTGTTGTAATGGCGACGTGTGAGTCGCTTTTCCGGTTATTTGATTTTTTCTGCATGTGTGATAGATGGAGCCAGGTGAGAGCTGGTAAGATCGAGTGAATCACATTAGTGTTTTTGTGTTGCAACTTGCCAGTTCGCAAAAGAATGAGGAAAGGTAAGTCCTGATAATTTTGTTCTAAAAAGGGATGAGCGGCTA